CATAAGTTGTATAGAAATGCATCTAATTACTTTGTTTTGAAAGCAACAAAAATACTTTTGTCTTGCTGCCAGGGATTTTGCCAGTTGAGCAGCAGCAATTGGAAACTTCTCTGAATCCTCTTCTTGAAGTAATAGGTTTGTTTTGTTTGTGTTTTATATATATATATATATATAAAATGAAGTATCCCTTTGCAAGTAGGTAAAGGGTTTACTATAGATATTAAGACGCTTTTGAAAGGATTCTATGAATCCCGGAAATCCTTTGGGAATGGGGCTAATAATTGCTTAATTTGTTAATACTGGCTTATTTGTTCCATTTCATTAGCATTTTGCTTATTTTTCTATTTTGTTTTTCATTGAACTGTGTGAGAAATGAGGTTCTGATTAATTGATTAGGACCCACACTACTTGAAAAGATACCTTGGAGGAGGAGGAAGTAGGTGTTTTTTTGAACTCCTACAAAGTCATCACTGCAGTTGCTCCAACTGAGCTCATAAGTTTTTAGAGTTAGGTGGTGGGGGCTAATCTTTTCATCTTGAAAAAAAAAATTTTTTTTTTTTTAATAGTTCAATTGCAGAAAGACAGTAAGCATCTTTGCAGTTTCTTTTGCAGAAAGAATTGTTTTAATTAGTTGTCCTTAAGATTTTTATTTTTATTATTATATGGTTAATGGCCTGGAAATGCTTAGTATATGTCTCTATTCCTTATTTAAGGGGTACTTAAAAGTACTTCATCCCTTACAAATTGATCAGTAGCAGCCAAAATATTTTCTCTATTCAGTGTCGCCCATCTGAATATTTAAAACATTTATTTCAAACATTACCTGCCAAATGTGCTTCACATGCCATTTCAATGCGGTCTCATGTGCCACGTTGTATTGCCGTGGTTTTCTTCTTTTGAGAGCGGCACTAAATTCAGTGCAGTTCTCTGATCTTCTTTCTAATTTCTGTAGATACTTTTCTTTTCTTATTTTATGCACTTGTTCACACCAACACACATGCAACCACACCTTCACATCCCTGCATAACATATACACACACCCACACACACCCACCCTTTGGAAATCTTAAGCTTAAGAAGAATCCCTCTCTGTTCATGACAATATCGACTGGGTGATGGTTGAAACTGATACTTATACCAATTTTCAGAGTTGGAACAACCCCCACCATCCACCTCTTCGCAATCTCAGTCTGCTACACCTCCTCCTCCCCTGCTCCCTACACCTCTCCTTGAAGATGAGATGGGTGAGCAGGAGGAGGACGAGGAGCGACCGGAATCTGAGTGTGTGTTACCTGTTCGTAAGTACTGATTCCTATTTCTTGTATCATTATTACAATTATTCCATTGGTAGTAGCAAATGTGCACTGTCTTGGTATGTCATTTTAAATTGTTAGTCACTTGGGATATTTAAAAAAAAAAAAATTTTTTTTTCTTATTATATATTTATATAAAGAATCTTGTTTCGGTTGTACTGTCCTGTGTAGTCACATTTTTTATTTGTTTGTTCCTCTATTTGTTATTTGCCTACACACCCCATCATGCCCTCAAGTCTGTGGAAAAATTGCATGGGATGTTCATCTGCAAGATTAGATTGTCTCATTAACATTTTTTTTCCACCTCTCTTTTCTCTTTCTCCAGCTCTGAGGCTTCTTATCCTCACTTTCACCTTGTAAAGCTTATATCTCTTTCTCTCTCTCGCAATGCTATCGTTTGCAGCAGAGCCTGACCAACAAAATTGTAAATAATTTTTTTTTTTTAACCAAAGCCAATCATCTGCTTGCTTTGGTGGGAAATGATTTAAAAACTATTTTAATGCACATCAATGGTGGGGGTGGTGTATAATATCAATTATCTATCACGAGAGAGAGAGAGAAAGCTGTTCATGTTGTTCATTTAGTGAATCTAAGCATTTAATGTCCCCCCCTCTCTCTCTCTCTCTCTCTCTCTCAGGAACTTTTGAAATGGTCCAAACTGTTGGTTTGCTGCTATAGCTGTACACTTTAGATTTTGCATGCTTAACCACTTGTTGCTGCTGCTTCCACCAAATATTGTCCATGTTTTCTACTGTCTAGAAGTATCTTTTCTGCTTGAGTCAATGTTTTTTTTTTTTTTTTTTTTTCCTTCTTTTGCTTAAAAGAATAAGTAGTGTTCTCTTCATTGGGGTGGGTGCAGTGCAGTATAGATCTGCCCCTATTATATATATATATATATATATATATATATATATATATATATATATATATAAAATACATAATTTTTTTTTTTTTTTTTTTAAATGAAATGCTTGGTTCTGTGTTTTAATTGTAGATTTATGCATTGCTGCATGTGGTTTGTAATTGAAATCTGAATCTTATTGGCAAATCCCTTGCACTTCTACTGATAGAATCTACATGAAATTAATGGTGTTTCCTTTGAAATTATTCAAATGTATTTCCCAGCTAAAATTGTCCAAAGAACAATTGTCAATTTTATATTGGTTTTTTATTTGTTTGAAGACTGAACTCCCTGCCCCCACCATTAAAAGCTGGTCATCTTTTATTTAATTGATTTTTTTCATTATTTCAAAATCTTTAACATCAAATGATATAAATATTGCATTATTGTCTGTTTTGAATTTTTTTTTAACTTGTGGATAATTGTTTATTTTGCTGCCCTGCCACCCCCTGTTCAATTTGTGTGCACATGTATTGACTTTGATAACATGCAAATTCTTTTCTACTTATTCTTTTCTACTTATTCTTTTGTGAGTTTAGATGTCACTTGAAAAGTGAACAGAGAAATCCTTTATCTCTTGTATAAACATTTACAAATGTACCAATAATGGCTTTTAAGTATTAAATTGCCATTTTTGATTTGGATAATTGAATTGTCTCCCTTTAGAAACCACACCCTTGTCTGAGAAGTGGCATTGAATCTTTTTTTTTTTTTTTTTTTTAAACAAATTTGAGTTATTGATAGTTATTTGTCTTTTATATAATAAATATGAATGTCAGTGTGTCACACTTTTTCAACTTCACTTTTAGAGGCTGTAACCCAACATATGAAGCAATTTTACTTTTTTTTTTTTTTTGTATGATAACAATTTTTCTAATTTGGAAATGATTAAAATTAATTGTGAAATCCAGAAAAAGTCACTCATGAAATAGAAATACTTGTTTATATGGAAAGTAATGACTTATGTTTATCAAATTGTCTTTAAATTAAGTGGTGGCAGATGAATTATCATTTTAACTCTTAAAAGATAAGCTTAAATATTAATGCAATACTTAAATGCAGCAAACAAATTTTGAGTTCTTCTGTAGTTTATTGTTGCCTATCACATCTACTCCCTACCCTATTGTGATGAAGGCCCAATCAAGAGCTTTCTGCTGCCCAATAAGGTGAATTTTGATCAACTTATGATTCATTCTTAATAGGTATAAGAAATATTGCAATTTGCTTATCAGGATGGTAAATCATGTCTTTGTAGCAATTTTTCATATAAGGATTCAGTATTTACAAAATGGAACACATTAACATTTGAGAATCTGATGATGGGAATAGAAAGAAAATCTCTTGTAATAAACCTGAAAGACTTTTTTTTTTTAATTGATACTACTTTCTATTTTTATACAGTTTACTGGTACTTATAGCTTAGAAGCCTTATAATTTCTGTTTCTCATTCACAATTTCCTGTTTGTATTCTATCATGTGACCCCTCCCACCTAATGGATGGCTTGGGTGAAGTTTTCTATCAAATTCTTTTCTCATCACGTTTCACAGAAATGCTTACCATTGCAATCTTTTCTTTTATGCCTTTTTTTTTTTTCCTTTTTCTTTCTCCGTTTTGCTAAATTCTTGTGAATTGTTCTCTTTGCTTCATCACTGTATATCTTTGGCTACTTTGAAGTCACCAAATGCATTGCCTCTGTCTCCATTAATCTCTGCTTCCTATTTTCCATAACTTGCTGTTTTTTTTCCCCTTTTCCTAAACATTAACATCTTTTTCTTCCCTTGTGAACAGCATTTATTTCCTCTTGAAAACTTTTTCCATCAACTATTTATCTCTCTCATTTTATTAAATGGCTGCTCAGGATCATTTCAATTCCAAAGATTTCATCATTTTGGATTGCTTTTTAATAAACTTTATATTTGCTAAAAAGAAAAAAAAAAAAACTTAAGATATAAAATATATAATTTTTGTATTTGACAAAATTATAGGTTTTCTGATAAGTGAATACAAAATCCATCAATGGAAAACTTTTTCCTGGATGGTATATCAATCACCTTTTTTTATGAAATTTTGACAATTTTTTTTTTTTTTTTTTTTTTTTTTTTTTCTTAATAGGGTTCTGAAATTTTTCTATAAATAAATGTATTCAAATTTTCAGTTTCTAATTTCTTGGATTTCCCCCACCTAAAATGTGTGTGCATTTTAATGGAAGAGAAAAATTGAAAATTCTGTGTATTGTTTTTCCACTTAAATTTCATTTACTGTACATAATTTAAAAGTTCTTTTAAAGTTGGGATGTGAATAAGTGATACATTTTAAGATCCGTATTCACAGTGCAAAATTTGTTTTGGGATTGATTTAAAAACTGTCATTTTTGGATAATGTTTACTTTGAGTAATTTAATTTTAGTAAAGGATATTTTCAGCTCCAGTTTTTCTTTCCCATTTTTTGTCTCTAGCTTATTTAAGAAATTCTGTTTGTGGTGTGGTTGAATTTTTTTTTTTAAAGTGATGTGAGCCATTTTATGTCCCTAATTCCTTTTTCTGTATGGAACACTGATTAAAGCTTTTGCTAAGAATTTTTTAATTGTTGAGTTCATATTGCAACATTATCATTAGCTCCTGTTTCTCTCTTTTTTTCTTTTGTTTTTTTTTGTTTTTTTTATTCTAATGGAAATTTTGAGGATGTCCAGTTCTTGTCATTAGATTTTGTTTGACATTCATAATCATTTTTAAAAATGCCAAAAACCTACATGTATATTGAATTTCTCTTTGTTTGCATTTTTTAGAAGAGGAAGAAACTGAAGATGTTGGAGGTGGTGAAGACGTCACAATGTCGACTCCTGAAGTCATTACCGAGAAACGATCGAAAAAGAAGAAGTCTAAAGATGCCAGTGAAAAGAAGAAGCGTTCCAAGAAGAAGAAAAAGGTGATAAGGCCAATGGACAGTGGAGGAGAGGTCAGTGTGAAGAATTTTTCTGCAAACCAGCTCCCACTCCCCAATCTCCTTGGTATTCTTTGGCTAGAGACTATTAGAACTGACATAATGCAAACTATAGCATAAACATTTATTTTTAAAAAAAAAGTTGTCATAATTGTATATTACAGAAGCAATTGTTTTGTACTGACATAAATGGTAATGACAAAAAAAAAAAAGAAATGAAAATTGTCATTGTGATGTATTAAGCAATTTAAATCAATTGTTTTGACCATCCTGTCCTGACACGATTTTAGGATAATTATAAACTCTGTAAATGAAGGATCTTGTATGACCCATTTAAATATTGGTGAGTTTTAAAAATTTCCAGTTAGAATTTCTTCTGTCAGTCTCCAGTTTGTTTATTGAGCAATTTTTCTCATGGTTTTTAGTTTTTAATAGACACTTGTAGATCTTAAGTGATGTTATATTGCTGTAACATTTTGGTTTAACACTTTGAGCCCTGGTCACTGCCTTACTGATGGTAGAGAAAAAAAAAAATGACATAATGCCCAATCACCAGTTGAACAGTGGGTGAACACTTGTGACTATTTTTATATCTACTGTGAAACATTACATAGTAATTATTTGCAAATTTTGACTTGGAATCTCGGGTAGAAGGGTTAAAATTGTTCAGGGGCGCAGGGCTGAGAGGGTTAATGTATCCAATAGCAGCTAAAATTTTATGCCTTCTTCAGCTTCATTTCTGACTTCAGTTTGCTAGTCTTTATAAACAAGTTTTTTTTATTTTATATTTTTTTTCCCTCTTTGCAATATTTGAAAGTAAACATTTTGCATTTTTCTTTTAGGATAGTGACTCCATCGTTCAGCAGTCTGACCATGATAGCGAAGAAATTTCTCCAAAGGAGAAGAAGAAAAAGGCCAAAATTCAAGAACGGGTATTGAATTTTTGTTCTTTATTTGGTCATCAATAATTGCAATCTTTCGTTCATCTTGAACTTTCTTTTGACTTGATTGTAAGTGAGGCAACAATTTATTTTTAAATCCAGGCATGTCATTTGAATGGGTTTTAAAATTCAAGAAGAATGAAATATATATATATATATACGTAAAAATGAATTGGTAATAAAACTAAGCTTAGACACTTGGTTATTTTTCCTTATGGCCTTTATTGAAGCAAAGTACAACTTAAGTTACTCTTATTTCTTTACAAATTTTACTTGACGTTTTCAAAAATTTCTCCAGAGAAATCCGCCCATCATAAATTGGGATGATGATGGGTTAGGTTTCTTAGGGAACATGTTGAATGTAATTTCTGGAATGTGTTATTATTTACATGTGGACTATTATCATCATCTTTGTTATTATTACAATTTGGCCATTGTGTCTTCCAGCCTTTATCTGGTGTTTGCTAATCTGGGTAGCCTATAGCAAATTTTGTACTGAACCTTTTAATTAATCTATGGGGGTTGATTGTTCTCCTTCCAGACAAGATATTCCTAAACATGGACAGCAGAATGAGAATATTCTACCCCTATAGATTAAATAAAGGGTTTGGTTCAAAATTCCATGTAGGTTATCCAGATTGACATACTCCTGATGATGGCTGGAGGGTACAATGGTTGAAACGTGATAACAACAACAGATATGGACAGTAGTTTGCATTTAAATAATTTGTAATGTAAACAGGAAAACTTTACGTTTTTTTTCTTCTTTTCTTCCTTCTAAAAGTTTTATTTTCTATTTATTCTCGTAATATTGGAGATTCTATATATAACCTAAGTGTTATATGAAATCCAAGCCATAAGTCAGTTCAAGCCTTGTGTATGAAATTATTAGGTAGACGAAACTGCTAAGAAGCTGTTGATATTTGTGTTAGCCATGATGGCTTGTGAATTTGTGCTAAGTGTTTGAGTGTACTGATCATGGCAGGTCTCCTAGAAATTGTACTTAGATCAGCTCAGCATGTTAGTGGTATAAACTACAAGTTTGCTCTTTGGCTCTTGAAGAAACACAAATGTGTTTGAACAAAGATTAGCTAGCCACCCTAGTAGAATCCATAGTCTCTGCAGACTGATAGATATCTATATACATGAATACCTAGTAGAAAAAAACTGTTACTTCTTCTCATTATCATTTTGCTTTGTTTTTTTGGTTTTTTATTTTATTTTTATTTTTATATTTTTCAGGAGAAAACCTCTGATGAAATTTGTGCCGAGTATGGTCTCAATAATGTTGATGTAGAATTCTGTGCTGAAGACTACCAGACCCTAAACAATTACAAAGCATTCAGCCAGTTTATCCGACCTCTAATCACAAAAGAGAATCCTAAGATTGCCATGGCCAAATTGGTCACCATTGTTGCTGCAAAATGGAGAGAATTCTGTGAGAAGAATCCTCACAAATCCAAAGCCAAACAGCGAGGTGAGTTCTTCGTAGGCCCCTAAATCTGTTATCGGCCATTCTTACAAGCTCAGAGATCAGTTTTGAAAGGTCCCTTGACAGATTAATCTGATACAAAGTAATCTGTAGTTAAAGGAAAATAGAAATCACACTGACATCATCATTTGTCATCTCAATGAGAGCCATTTAGTCATCTTGGGATTGTTGGTCTTTGTGACTGTGCTATTTATTTGTATCCACATATGGACATGTTTTTGGTAATGTGGGCAGGGAATGCAGGCAGCAGTGGGAGATTTGATGGCATTGTCTTTCTGGTTTCCTTGCATTGTTTTCTTGCAGCCTTGTTGGTCTTGCATGTCTTGGATCTCTTACAGACTTCTGCATATTCTAATATTGTCCATTTTCACATTTTATGATTGATGTTGAAGGCCTTCAGTTTGTCTTTTTTATCCTCTTTGAGGGCACACACACATTATATGCATGCTCAAGGCAGAAACTACCCTTTGGTGTACTCACTGCAATCAGTTTGTCAAAGTCAAACATATCTTGATAGAATGTAAAAAGCACAAAAAATAACAACTATTACCAAGCACAAAATCTTGATATTTACTTCAAAAATGTACTTACTGCCCAAATAATAGGATATCTGAAAAAAAAAAAAAATTATATAGAAAAATAGCTTGGATTTTTATAGAAAAATAGAGCTTGGATTCTGAATCATACAATTTTTTTTTTTTTTTTTTTTTTTTTTTTTGAAAAAAACCTCACATTAAGAATAAACTATAATATGTGGAAGGCAGGCCAAATAGATTGCATGGTCAAACCATTTTGTCTGCCTTTCTTAAAAATGAATCATGGGCTGCTTTTCTTTTCTGATGTTGTTACAAAATCGTTCCACTAAAGTGCTTGTATTTTCCTAGGTAATTTTTATCTTGTTTGTCCTGGCTGCATTTCAGGTGCCATGTTTTGGAAAGAATGGAATTGTAAAGCAGAATGTTTGGTTTAGGGAGACATTTTTTAAGCTGAATTTTAGTTAATTTTCTTTTTTTTTTTTTTTTTTTTCTCTCTCTCTCTCTATATATATATATATATATATATATATATATATATATATATATATATATATATATATATATATAGTTCTGTGACTTTTGTTTGTTTGACCCTCTAAAATACCCATGCATTGACCATTTCAAACGAAATTTTGGGAAGAAGTGCAGATAGGGAAGGGACTACAAAGTACAGTTAGTTTTACTAGGGATGTGTAAAAACGACAAAGCAGGGTTTTTTTGCCAAAGTATCCCCCCCAACAAATCCGCTTATTTAAATTTCATCAATTGGTTTGCAAAATTGAACAAAATGTAGTTTGTAAATCTTGACAAAAAAATGTTAGTGATATAACTTCAAAAATACTAAAGACTGAGGATTTCAACGTGTGTCAGTGTGGGGCAAAAATTCTAGTTATTAAAAATTTTTAAATAAAAACAATCTACTACTGATATTTATTTACTGTTCTCTAATGAATTGATGCAGCTCTTTTATATAATTTATTTATATATATATATATATATATATATATATATATATATATATATATATATATATAGCTTGTAAGTAACAACCGTGCAGAAACTGGAAATGTGTGTGCTTGATGGGAGATTTCTTTTTTGTTTTTAATAATTTCACCCCTATTAAGTCACTAGGATGCAAAAGGCTACTGAAGTGTTAGAGAATATGAGGAAAAATACTATCAAGGGGAGAGGACAATAATTAAAACAGAAGATAACAATTGACATTGCATTTAAATTTTTGAAGATCAAAGTTGACGTCAGGAGAGAGTTCTATAAATGAGTCGTGTGATAGAAGAAACTGTTAGCATTGAACTTGCGCGTTTATTTGAAGTCATTACAGCAAAGTTGGCTGCTGGGGCTTTGCCAGCAGAATTTAATAAATATTAAAAAAAAAAAAAAAAAAAGAAAGTTTTTCCATTTTGACACGCATTTTAGTAAATTTTTAGGATATAAGTTATTCTCATGATTGCATTTCGTCCTTGTGATCTTGGATCTGAATTCTGATTCCAACAATTGTGCTTGGATGGTTGTGTGTCTGAGAGAGAAATTTTTAAATTTCATTCTGTTTAATTCTTGGGGCTAAGTTTGGGGGGGTTCAGAGGTTTTCTTTATCCATTTATTGAATCTGTTACTTGTCTTTTATCTGCTTTTGGACCAATTTATTTTCTGTTTTACATTTTTTTTTTTCTTTCTTTCTCAGCCATTGAAGATGAACAGCTGGATGCAGTTTTACGTGATAACCAGGATGGCGAGGGTAGTGAAGCCGCAGAGGAGAGCAGCCCTTCTAAGTCCAAAAAGAGTAAATCAAAGAAAGCTGTGGCTCCTCTGAAAATAAAGATTACTAAAAAGAAAAAGAGAAGGAAGGCTAGTACGGTAAGTAGTAGTAGTAGTACTTTCTTTCCTCCTCCCAACACTTTTTCTTTCTCTTCATGTAGTTGCATGTTGATATGTCAGTGTAGACTTGAAAACTAATTAATCTATTTCTCTCCCTCACTCACACACACACACACACACACACACACCTCAAATGTACTTTGTTAAGGTATTTGCCGTTCTGCAAGTTTAAGGTATTTGCCGTTCTGCAAGTTTAAGGTATTTGCCGTTCTGCAAGTTTAAGGTATTTGCCGTTCTGCAAGTTTAAGGTATTTGCCGTTCTGCAAGTTTAAGGTATTTGCCGTTCTGCAAGTTTAAGGTATTTGCCGTTCTGCAAGTTTGCTCCCAAAATAATCTATTCCAATGTCATGCTTTGGAATGTAAATATTGCAATGCTGGTCAGTTTGAGAGTGTGTTTGTAGAAAATATATGCTTCTCCGACAGGAATCGAACCTGTAACCCCAATGGGAATCGTCATTTGATCTGATATGCTGTTAAGCATTCAGCCACAAAGAAGTGTCTGGTTAGCAAAGTCCGAAATACTGTTTATAAACAACAAATCTTTGGCAATCTTTCCCAAACGATCATATCTGTTCACAAAATGTACCTTAATGTAATCATTGATAACACATGAAAAGGATTAAGTCCAACAATTATTTCTGATTGTTATTTTATTAGATATAATTTAAGTAATTGCATATATAGTATCGACACTTGTCTTCAGATGGGACTTTGGTGTGATAGCTGGATATGGAGTGTTTTCAGAAATATTAGCCATATTAGTGGCTTACAAAAGAAATTCAGATGGCAAGTCATGAAGTGCAGAAGAATTATTCACAATGACCAGAAATGTTTTGCTTATTAGTTTAAAACTGAATAAGTTTAAAGCACCATTATTAAGTATTTGTTTTCCTTTTGTAAAAGTAAAAAAAAAAAAAAAAACCTGTAAGTTCCTGTGTATTCTCTTTGACATGTTGAAAATTACATAATTTCAAAAACATTTTCAAAATGAGATGCATATATTACAAAATGTATTGATATGACAGTGAATAAAGTTTTGTTGAATTTCTCATCCCAAAATTAGTAAATGTACCGACAAACGATGCTTTTTTTTTTTTTTATGGCAAGTTCAGTATGGTATAATTTTGATCTGTTTTTGCCAGTGTCAAATTGTGCTTGTGGCTGTTTTACATTTAAATATAGATGTTTTTTTGATTTTTTTTAAAAAATTTTATTTAATATATTTTTAAAAAATTTTTATTGAGGTACTACTGGGGGAGGAGGGAATTAGCTTCATCTTCCTGTTATTGAAGTATAAGAAGAGGTCACAAGGTGTTGAAATGAAACCAATTTGCCCTTCTGTGTCATATTTTTATGATCTTGTTTTTGGTAATGAAATTTTCGCAATGTTTAGGCTGGCTGGATCTAAAAAATTGATTCTATTAGCATTACCTTTTACTCAAAGATTACCTAAATGAAATGACATTTATAATTTTTAACTTGTTTGAAACCTGCATCTTCAGTTATACACTGTTAAAATAGACTTTTTATTTTTTCTTAATTTTTTTTAATTTTTTTTTTTTTTTGTCCAGACGCACACAAATTTTTATGAACTTTGAATGATCATAACTTTGAATGATCATAACTTTGAATGATCATAACTTTGAATGATCATAACTTTGAATGATCATAACTTTGAATGATCATAACTTTGAATGATCATAACTTTGAATGATCATAACTTTGAATGATCATAACTTTGAATGATCATAACTTTGAATGATCATAACTTTGAATGATCATAACTTTGAATGATCATAACTTTGAATGATCATAACTTTGAATGATCATAACTTTGAATGATCATAACTTTGAATGATCATAACTTTGAATGATCATAACTTTGAATGATCATAACTTTGAATGATCATAACTTTGAATGATCATAACTTTGAATGATCATAACTTTGAATGATCATAACTTTGAATGATCATAACTTTGAATGATCATAACTTTGAATGATCATAACTTTGAATGATCATAACTTTGAATGATCATAACTTTGAATGATCATAACTTTGAATGATCATAACTTTGAATGATCATAACTTTGAATGATCATAACTTTGAATGATCATAACTTTGAATGATCATAACTTTGAATGATCATAACTTTGAATGATCATAAATGAATAACTTTGAATGATCATAACTTTGAATGATCATAACTTTGAATGATCATAACTTTTTGAATGATCATAACTTTGAATGATCATAACTTTGAATGATCATAACTTTGAATGATCATAACTTTGAATGATCATAACTTTGAATGATCATAACTTTGAATGATCATAACTTTGAATGATCATAACTTTGAATGATCATAACTTTGAATGATCATAACTTTGAATGATCATAACTTTGAATGATCATAACTTTGAATGATCATAACTTTGAATGATCATAACTTTGAATGATCATAACTTTGAATGATCATAACTTTGAATGATCATAACTTTGAATGATCATAACTTTGGCACTTTAAATTATTTTTAGCATATTCCAGTAATTCTCATTGTAAGTTGTTGCACAGTTTGTATATGGCACAACTGAGCATGAAAGGCTTGGCTTGTCCACTGTAAAGTTAGCCTTCACTAAAATGTATGGGTCAATGGGTAACTTTTTGCAATTTTATATTTTTAATTTTGTGCATGCATGTTGTTTGTTAATTTTGTTGACTGCACAGTATATAGTAGGGTCAGTTGGGCATCATCTGTGAGAAAAAGAGCACCATGATGCAATTCGCTCCACCAAGAATTTGGAAACAGCATGCTGTACTACTTGGCATTTGTGCCAGAAGCTCCGTTACAAACATTTCCGCGTGCTCTGATGTCGATCTGAGGACAGTGCAGAAGGTTTGGAAAAAGTTGGATGAGTCTAATGGTGATTATAATGGGTCGACAGCTTGAAAAACTCACTCTGATTATTCTGATAAGTAAAGAACTCCTGAATTTGTTGGTGAGGGCATCAGGCTCAATAGAGCATCCTCAAGTGCCTTGAGGGTGGCTGCTGGTAGGTCATGTCTGGCAACAGGACTATGCATCATGTCTCACAAGCAGGAGAACCCAATCATGGCTGTCAAACAATTTCTGCAACCACATCACTCTTTACATCTGGTTACCTAACTTCCCAGACTGCAACTCCATTGATTATTATGTGTGGGGTACAGTTGAACAAAAGACAGACAAAACAATGAACTGAAGGCAAGGATTATGCATTCACCAACTTTAACAAGGAGACCATTCAGAAGAGTTACCGAAGATTCCAGTCATCTGGAGGCCATGGTTGAAGCCAGTGGAAAGTTTATTGAATACTCTTTAGTATTAAGATATTTTTCTGTAATTTTGGTAAATATATCTGTTAAAATTTTTGCCTAATTTAGACTAGAATTTAGCTATCGCACCCTGTATAATGTGTGTGTGACTTTCATGGATATGAAGTTTGATAGAAAAATTTTAACCTCAACTGCCCTGATGAGATACCATATCTGTAAACCTATTCGCTAGGGAGATAAGTTGGACATTTGTTGTTATTAATATACTATTTCTTAATGAGCATTTTACTTAATCCTCTAGCAATAGACTTGTTGATTGACTCTGTGTGTTTGTTTTTGCTTCTGTTTGTGCCCCCCCCCCTTCTTTTTTCCCTTGAACATCCTAATATCTTGTAAGGGTCACATATATTTTTCTTTCTCTCTCAGGATGATGATGACACCGGCTTCAATACAAGTGATGAAGAATTTGAACGTCAACTGGAAGAAGCCAGCATTATCAGTGATAGCAAAGCTGAAGCAAGTGCGGGTCGAAAGAAAACGAAACGAACAAAAACGAAGAAAAAGAAAACCAAAACAACTAGCAAGTACCCTGATGATGGCGATGGAGAAGGTTACGAGGTGAGTGGATTTATTTTGTTTGACATGACATTTTGAATGAAACTTTTCTTCTTTTAATCTCAAATTTAGCACGTATTGCTGGTGTTTAGGGTTGTTTTCTTAATGAATTGCTAGCTAGGTTCCGAGGTTTAGATATATAATGAGGGGGTGCTGAAAATTTTTTTTTTTTTTGTTCATTCGATGGTTGCGTACCCCACCCCCCTTTTAGGGCTTCTTGGATGAGTTGGGAACTTTAAATGATACAAACTGTTTGAAAATATTTGGAACCAAGTGGTTTTGGAAATGGTGTTTATTATGCAAATGCTAGGAAACAACATTTCATTCCATCTTAAGCATAATGGCTGTCTACTCTCGTTTACTGAGCACACCTGCCTGTTTGGACAAGTAGCCAATTCCTGTCACAGATACTTGCTCTGGTCCATTTGCATTTGTTCAACACCCACCTAGTTGCAGTATAAACTGCAGGTGGGTTATGTTGAGTGAACTTTAGTTACAGTTTCTGGGAGCGAGAGTGAACAAACCTGTGAAGATGAACAAGGCCAGGCTATAATGGCTTGTGACTTTGTGCTAGCAAAACCATTGACTGCTCAGTTTGTTTTTAATTTTATAACTGTTGATTATGATTAGAATCTTTTTACCTGTTTGTCTTAAATTTATACATTTTTTCCTTTTTTTTTTTTTTTTTTTTTTTTTTCTTTTCTTTTTTTTTTTTTTTTTTTTTTTTTTTTTTTCTCCTCCCTGCAATTTCAAGACTGACCATCAGGATTACTGTGAGGTGTGTCAGCAGGGTGGTGAAATCATTCTGTGTGACACGTGTCCAAGGGCTTACCATCTCGTCTGTCTAGACCCTGAGTTGGAAGAAGCCCCCGAAGGGAAATGGAGCTGTCCTCACTGTGTTTGTACCCTACTATTTTGCTCTCTCTCTCTCTCCCCCTCTCTATTAATCCTGTACTTTGATCTAGCCCAAGTGTATGTCTCTGAATCGATCATCCAATATTTATTACATGCACCCTTCATTTTACTGTTCATCAAAAATTACTATTTTTGCACTTTGTAAAACTAGAACTCTAAATGGAACTTAATTGTTATTTGGTGAAGCTATTGAAACGTCGGAGGGGGGGTACTGGTTGGCAAAAAAAGCAAAAGTATATCTGTGCTGCTTTCACTCATTTTCTTGATTTAATCTTGACAATCTGGATTTTAGACTTTTTTTTTTCCCCCACTTAGACTATTATTATCTTTTTACACTAGATAATTAACCTTCTTCAGATAATGTTGACGGTTTTTTCCTAAGGCCTTGCTTGCTTTGTCTTAATTTGCTTTTTGGATTTGCCATCCAGGTTTTACTGCTTAATCTTAATACATTATTCCTAGTTGATTTTTTTTTTTTTTTTTTTTTTTTTTTTTTTTGTATGCTCTTTTGTATCTATTTTATTAATTGGAGGGGTGTCTTTTCTAAATATAAGCCCTCAGTGAGCTATAAAGTGTAAAAAAAAAAAAAAATTGTATGGCTGATTGTATTTTGATAGGAAAATAGTTACCTTCCAAATCTGTCAGTTAATTGGATTCATTTCTCTCTCCTATAAGGTTTTGGTTGAAATACATATTTATTTCCAGATAGTGTATCTGTGAAGGAACAAAATGAATAAAAAATAAAAAAAACAAATTTGAAAGAGATGAATATTTTATGAGAATTATAATTGGTATTTGCTATAAACTTTAAAATAAATGAACCCAGTTGATGTTTGTTTTTTTTTTTTTTTATTTTTTTTTTTTAATAAATATAAGGAGAATGATTTAACAATTTAAAAAAAAAACAAAAAAGCTAGATATTACTTATTCCAAATGGATAATGAAATATGTGATTAATATAAGGAGTGGAAAAGTTTGAAGAGATAAATATACTTGGTCTGTTTCAAATATCCCCTTTCTCTTTACCTTTTTTTTTCTCTACAGGGCTCCTTTTTGTAGTTAGATTTTTCCCCTCTTTCATTTGTGCTTTATTAACTGATTAGATATGCCATTTGATTGCTTAAATCTTGATATAAAAATTTGCTTTTTAAAATGTGCTTTAGTCATTTGAATGGCTTTTAAAATTTTTGCTTTAAAAAAAAGAAAAAAAAAAAAGAAAAAAGTAATTAAGTAAATTTGGAGCCCTGAATGTTTGTCTATTTTTAATTGTAACTTTTTTTTATAATCTTGCATGTCATTTAATTTCAATTTTAAAGCCCCCCCCCCAAGCTAAAAAAACAAAAAAACAAACCAAAAACAGTAAGCTTTTTTCATTTGTTGCAATTTTTGCCATTGCGAAAAATAATTGCCTTTTAAGCATCAGATCTTTGTCTGCTTGCTTTGATGTCTTTTGGAATCTGTAATAATTTGAATGTTTGTCCCTCCATCATCAAATGGTTCTCATATATTTGAAACAAAATGATGGCTTGAGTCATAATTCTTACCCCCCCTTCACTATTTCAACTCTTTACACATTGTTTTTCTTATTTTCATACATCATTAGTTCTGACTGCAATTTCTGGGTTTGCTTTATCAATGCAATTGCTTTTTTGCAATTAAATTTGATGCATTTTAAAACCATTACAACTGCTTCTATCTTTTGAACTTTTTTTTTCTTTAGAGACTGAAGAAAGAAAAATTAAAAAAAAAAATTAGTGGCTATCTCTACTTGGGTTGAAATAATCATTTAACCAAAGGCAAACTGTCTACATTCCAAAGTTGTTTTGCATCAAATTCATCATTTTAGTATGATACTATAATAGACCTGGGAGGTCAGTCTTGGCTGCTAAATGGAGAAACTTGTGACCTCACATCTGCATCCAGTTTACAGCCATGGGAAATTTTTGTGATATAAGCATTTATATAAACAGTTACTCTGTATGTAGGGGAAGGGTTGTCTCTCTCCTACATCACAGGAGAATGTGGGGGTCTGCATATCTGGTAAGAGGCACCGAAAAAGTACCAGAATGAGTGCCAAATATGATGGGTTCAAGTCTTGTGTTCTCATTTTGCTGGCACCCCCACTTCATTACAATGATGACATTTTGATAAGATTTTCTCTTCAAATTTTGGCAAAAGTGAAATTATGTCAAAGCTTACTGTTACATCTGATATGATTGGATGAGTTTTTGGAAAAGAAAAAAAAATTATTTCAAATGCAGTTTTGTTTCTCTCTCCCTTTTGTTTTTCTTTGTGTGTGTTTTTTTTTTTTTTTTTTTAATGATTTTGTGCAAAAAAAAAAAAAAAAAATTGAAAAGGGAAATGTTTGAAATATGAAAAATTTGATATTCTACAAAAGTTAATGAAAAAAAAATAGATTTGTGGTGGCGGAAACCCCAAAAAACCCATCCCCAATGAGTGTCAATAATAGCATGTGACTATGTTTGGGGAAAACTTTTTTTTTTTTTTTTTAACTAATTTTTGTCTAACTCATTTTATGAAGAAATATAGTTTTAGTCAATATTTTTAAAATTCTATTCTCTTATTTCAACCATATTTATGTGATGTTTTTGGCTTGAAAAAAAATTTACAATTTTTTTATTTTTTATTTTTTTTATTTTTTTTATTTTTTTATTTTTTTTTTTGTGGTCTCTATGGTATTTCTATATATTTTCTTTTCTTTCTTTCCCCTAAAATGTAGAACTTGTTTAACCTTATTGTAATAAGACCTTTTCTCAATATGGTAGTGTTTTTCCAATCTTAAGGCAGCCCAGCCATCAACCCAGAATCTTTACTCTTATCCTATAAACCATACAGCATGTTTCTAACATCGAGCCACTCTTTCTCTTCCTAAGTTGTAATCATCAGCCCCTTCCCCATTTTCCTTTAGTGTTAAGGGGCAATTATGGATATATTTCTGTGGAATGAAGGTTTTTTTTTTTTTTTTTTTTTTTTTTTTTTTTCCATCATTTCTCAATCGAACTCCCATGGACATGATGGAATGAAATATGTCTCCTTAGTCAGGTCAGGCCAAATGTTTAAAGATAAAGACATCTATAGTTTTACGGTATACTATATTTATGGGTAAATGTGACTGTAAATATAAAAGTGCAAATTAGGCTACACTGAATGGCAACAGTCTGCTTCATGCATGAATGCAATCTAAAGACAAAATTGGCAGTCAAGTCCCTGAAGAATATATTAACATTTCTCTTTGATTTAATACTATTTGCTTTCCTTTGGAAATCTAATTATTGTTGTGGCTCAAATCTGGGAAGACCCTATGTTGTATGTGCCCCCACAGCATTCCTTATATGCTGTCAGGAGGCATGCCACTCTTGTTAGCTAGTAGTTGCATATTAGCAAACACATTGCAGTCTCTAAATTGTTAGGATTACATCAGCTCAAGAGGGGGGGAACATTTGTGTGTCAATATTTAATACCTCTTTACTCTTCTCAGTTGTCAGATGAAATCCCCTTTTGAGTAGGGGGAGGGGGGGCTTTGTCCTTCCAATTAAGCACAAGTTTAGCTTGTATCTTTTTGTTGTGCTCGTTTCTATTTGATTGTTCTGTTTCAATCAAGTAGGGGAGTGAGAAAGAATACTTAGAGAAATATTAACTTATAGAAACATTCATCATAAAGTTTTTTTTTAATAAATCTGGCACAGACTTAGAAAAAAAAATTGTGCTGTTCTTTTATGGGTTGAATAGTTTGCTGCTGCCTTTTTGATGACTTTTCTCTCCTTCAGCTTCAAAATAGTGAAGAAAAACTGTATGTTACTCACTGTGACTTACCTTACTTACAACTTTCCACCACCACAACTAGTGTTACTAACTTATTTCATTTTTATCCCTGTTTGTCATCTTCATTAACATGCATTCTTTTAAAGTTCATTATGAATGTGACCAAAACTTGTCCCGATTTGTATATGGTCAGTAGTCATCTATTTCTTAACCATAAATGTGTGTGTAATATTTATGATGGTAAAATATTTGACATTCACTACATTTTTGTACTTTGTATTAATGTGACACAAGTTAATTGCATAAAGCCAAATATATAATTTTTTTTTTTTTTTTTTTTTTTCATTAAAAAAATTTTTGATTATAAATGTCACATGAGTGACATGTTTCTATCTTCATTCATTTTCTTTTTCATTTTTGCAAAAAAGGAAAATTCCAACTCTATGAATCTGATAATTTTTCTTGATGTTTCTGTTTTCCCATTTTTGTGTTCCCCTTTTCCAAAAAAAAACAAAATTCATGTGTAGTTGTTGTTGTTTTTGTTTTTTGTTGTTCCACCGTCCGACAGACCTACTGCTGTTGCACTTTCAATTCAAGCTGCTAAATTTTTGGACCTCATTTTTGTTCCCCTCCACCCCTTCCCTTCCTTCCCCCTTCCTCTCCCCCTCCCTCCTTTACCCTTCCTCCCAGCCCTCCTAAACCCCCAGTGCTTTTCTTAGTCTTACATTGATATTCCTCATTTTTCAATTGGCTCCTGTTCATTTGCGCTGTCCTCTCCAACGTTACTGCATGACTGTTGCCTAAAAGAAAAGAAAAAAAAAAAAAATTTTCTTGTGCAAGTTCCATGTACTGATGCTCATGTCAATACTCTCTACTCCCCCATTAAATGACAAAAAAAAAAAAAAAACATTTAATGAAATCTTTAAAACCCCTTTCTGCAGGAGTTTTGAAGATTTCATTAAATTTTTTTTTTTTTTCTTTTTTATAAATAAGTCATTTTAACAAGAGAAAAAAAATTTGCCCTGCCTACCTTTTTTATATTATGTACATTTTCCCCCCACCCCTCTCGTTTTTGTTTTAATTTTTGGTATTGGTGGTGGTGCGTCTCCTCCTCCTTAGTATAACTATTTCTCTCTCTTTTTTTTTTTTTTTTTTTTTTTCTTTTTTTTTTTTTTTTTTTGTGTCTTTGACAGTAATTGA